GCTTGATTCGGCCTCTGCAAGGACTTGGACCGACATTACCAGCGATACGGAATTTATTCGACATCTACTAGGCCTTTATTTCTGCTGGGAGTACCCAAATTTTGCGCCGATTAGCAAAGAACATTTTCTTCGGGACTTTCAAGATACACGGCAACAATACTGCTCGCCAATGTTAGTCAATGCACTTCTTGCATTGAGTTGTCATCTCTCCGATCGAGCTTTAGCCGTTGCTGACAACATCTCCATCGGCAATGATTTTTTCAACGAGTCGCGGCGCATCCTTTTTTCCACACCAGACCATTACCAAGTAACTACTGTTCAGTCTTTGGTGATAATGTCATTACGAGAGGCTCGTTGTGGTCGATATTTGGAGAGCAAATACTACGCAGAACATGGTATGCAACTTGCTGTTGAAATGGGTCTGCACAATGTACGCGAGGAAGACTGCCCCCTTGAGCCTGATGTACTCGCAAAAACGTTCTGGGGAACGTTTACACTCAGCCAGTAAGTTCCAGTAAACTCAACAGGGCTGAAGGGGACACTGATAAGTAACATAGCGCATGGTTGATGGTGCAGGGTGAGCTACCACACTACCCGCCTACACTGCACCGCCCACCCATGCCAGTAATTTCTACCGACTTTGAGACGTCATCCTGGGCACCATATGCGGACGGCAGTAAGTGACTTTCTCAGACACAATGTTACCCTTCAAGCCTCATTCTTGTCTAGACGTGCATTTCGAACCATATAAGCAACTCTCAAATGTACGGTCTCTGTATCAATATTTTTGCAAGCTGAACGAAACAGTTCACGAATCTCTCCACCTTCTTTACTCGCCTATTCAGTCTTTAACAGCTGCAAATCTGCTCCAAAACTACCACCTATATCTAAACTGGTATGACCAGCTGCCAGAGGTTATGCGACTAGGTCACAATTCAACGCCTGCGGTAATATTCATTCAGTACGTGAAGGATTATTCAAGATTCTGTGGAGATGCTAATCTGCTAGTTTGTACTATCACCTTTCTGTTCTTCTACTCTTTCGACCGTTCTTGCGAGTCCGTCTCACCCATTCGGGGATTATTCCTCTGGAGATCTGTTTCCAGGCAGCCGATGCCATGCAGCGTCTAGTCGGCTCCTTCTCAAAACTCTATACCCTGCGCAGGACACCGACTTTCATGCCTTTCTTCAGTTTTGCAGCAGCTACAATTTTTCTGGCTACTTCTACCATGGATATGGAGCTGGATCACGGCAAGGTATCTGTCTCGCCAACTCCAGACGTCAACGAAACATTAAGACTCAGTATCGCACATCTCGAAGAAATGGCTCCATACCATTCTTTTGCCGAGCAGGCGCCACACATCCTACGCTATCTAGGTCGTAGGTGGGGTTTAGAACTTGGTATAAAGGCACGCAAGTGGTCATCCCATAATGCGAGGCCAAATATCATGACTGAGCACGCGCTTGGCGGTACAGGATTGGAGGATGCAATCGGCACTGAGGGGATTGGGACTAAAGTGAACAGCTTTAACGGGGTTTTTTCCGCGCTGTTGGGACTGCAGCAAGAGTCAGTTCTGCAAGATGGGTTCGACTTAGCTGGGGCAGGCTTTTCCCTCGTTTAGCAGTATGTGTAACGGGTTGAGCAAGGTGGTGGTTCGTTTCACACTTTCGCTTTGAGCCCCGGTTCAAAGGTTTGTGGCGCACAACACACAAGAAGGGGATTGCCTCTTCGCTTCTCGCAATTTTGCTTCAAGACCCAGCACAGCACTGTATGCTTTCCCCCTCCTTCATATTATCCTTAAAATCGTCATTAATGGCCTCGAGATCTTTATAATACAGCTAATGGTGATTTCTATGACGGTCTACAGCGCAATATAGCCCTTTCTTATAATACCAAACCAAAGTTTATTACGCCCGGTGACTAAAAAAGCCAATAGGGCTCACTAGCTAAGTTACTTTACATGTCTGAAAGTGGCGTCTCTGCCTCCTGCAAGCCCATAAGCGGTCATCCTCCTCCCATTTCTGCTCTCGTCCTCGTCTCTTATAATACCGGTTCCGTAAAAACCGTTATGGGTGTCGCTAGTGCTTTTAGTTAATTTTAGTTGCCCTCTCGAAGTAAATCAGAACCGCTATTTCTGGCTCTCTAGGCAGCAGCCAAAATACACCCCACTAAAATTAGTATGTTAGAAACACACAACACCCATAACGGTTTTTACGGTACAGAGAAGGGCGAAACAAGTGTCACACTTTTAGTTAACAAGAATAATAGTGGCAGCCATTTTAGCCTGTGACGTAGCGCCGCCTGATATCCACCAGGTACCCGAAACTTTTTCGTGGGGTAAATGTGCGATTAAACTCAGCCGTTAGTTTGCCATATATGCACCAGTTGTTGCTCTGTTACGACAAAATTACCTTTCGGCGATGGAGTAGAAATCCCCTTCCTATCCTGAGCTTTTTTCTGCCTAGAAATACGGCATTCAATCAGTTTCTGCCCATGTAGTCTCATTCTTGCCTGAGGGAAAAAAATGGTACAGGGTACCAGATAACTCTAGCGGCCAGATCGAGATCCACCATTTCGTTAAAAGTTAACTAGCAAAAGAGTGACACTTGAAACGCCTTTCTCTGTATAAGCATATAATGTTTTAGTTAAAATAATAGACAAATAAAAGGAAAATCATAAAAATCGAACTCAAAAAGCATATAGTTTTAAACAGTGTGGATACTAAGACATTCGTAGGGAAAAGATCTAGGAACGCCTATGAGATCGCCTAGCATTTTAGGGGCAAATGCCACCATTTTAGGGATAAGTGCCACTAAATACGGGTACAGTAGGGCTAAGTTGCATAAATTTGCTGGTTAGCTAGGGCGCCTACGGACAGATGAGGAAGGTGTTTCGAGACAGTCGATCCTGTCGCAGCTTTATGCTAAAAAGCTTTCTACCTTCTAGAACGCAGGACTATGAGCAATAAAGATTTAGTAGATATTTACAGTAACAGAGCATTAAGCAGTAACCGGCCATTAAGCCCCATTACGAGCGGGCAAAAAAGGTACTTGTAGGTACACGCTGTTTTTAGCTACTGCCCACTAAAATTGTTGTTTAGGTGCGACCCGCAACACCTATTTCGGTTTTTACTATACCACCTATGCAAAAACAGATTACAAGACCAGTGTCAGAAATGGATAGATCAAGTGGAAAGATGTGGTTGCGGTCCAGACAAACAACGCCTAGCTCGGCGGTCAAGAAATGGACAGAAGCGAGCCTCCCTTCTCACAATATGCAGGCACCATACGTTGATTCTGTCTTGTTTCCTCTAACATCTTCTATTGTAGCCGTTAGCGGGAGTTGGGCTATGGTGGGGGCGGGGCAACATGGCACGCATTCACTGGCTGTTCACTTATGTGAACAAAGTGCAGAGTTTTTGTGCGATGTCTTTCATTCTTGGCTGCGCCTTGATCTATCGATCATCTATCATGACATGCGAGATGAGGGTTCATCGAGCTGCTCTTGGCACGCAGAGAATCGGACTGTTTCTCTGCGAGTTCCCAGCGGACACCACGTAGAGGTGGAAGCTCATCGTCCACCGCCGCAGAAGTGAAGAACGGAGTTGGCCATCTCCTATTTTCTCACATCAAAAGGCTTATTCAAATAGGGATTAAGGATACTCTCTGCAACGGATCCTGGTGTTGAGCCTCGTTGTGGAAGGCCGCCCAATGTGTCACAGTGCGAGTCGTGCTCGTGGCCAACTGAGTCGGATTCTAGCGACACCGGATGGCCGCGATGTGTATGGATAGTCCTTAGGACCAACTAATTACCACGAGTGCCGTGATTGTAGGCACCTTCCTCCGGGAAGTACTCGAGTCTTGTGTTGATCTGTAGCGGGCTCCAACGCGGGCTAAGCGACTGATAGCCATACTGCTGCTGGTTCGTGAGGCGGCGCCATTCTGCTTCGTCATAAGGATATTCATCGGGGCTCCCTGGTTGCGCTTCAGACGATGAGCCTTTGGGGCGGCGCGGGAGAGCAGGGCTAAGCCGGTGCTGGCCAGGACTGACTGGCGATGACGTTGAACACGGAATTTGCGGCGAGGCGGGCGCCACCAGTGGACGGCGCGGGAGTCATCCCCTCCGATAGCAACTGCTACATGTTTAGATGATTTATGAGGTGGTCCCAGGAAATTAAGATGCCCCTGGCAAAGAGAGTGGGTTAATAAACTCTCTGCGCAACAGTTTCTGGCAGCCTACTTCGTGAAAAACGGCTTTTTGTCACTTGTCCATTTATTCCTCTAACCGTTTGGCGCTTTCTGCCCAAAAGCTTCTGGGCGGCTCTTTGGTACTGATAGCATTCCAGCCGTCCGATGCTGTCACTTTTGCGGCTATGTGACTTTTAAACCCACGGCTGTTAGCGCCTGATTCAGCCAATTTCTGTCTAGTTGGTTTGGCTCTCTCCCACGCCGACGCCAGACGGTTGGTAGCTTTCCGCGTACCTATTTGGACTTGTATTTATCTACGCAGGCGCCGTCTGGCGCTGGATTCGATGTCTATCGAATGCCAAGGCTCGATCGAACTCGATTCGAATTCGATCGAATTTATGACTAATCAATCTTGGGTATATTATAGTATAGACTTTTCAAAGAGCGTATGAGATCATTCTCTCCCGGCATATTCACAGAGTCAAGCTTTAGCAGGATTGTCAGGAAAAAGCATCTTTAATTTACCCGAATACTATATTATTCGCTGCTTTTCAACGAGGCAAGTACATCGACCCACTGGCTATCATCTAGATTGAGCAATGGCAGCGAGGGACTGTAGATTCCTGCCGCACTCCACGACCGAATGCACTGAGCCATGGCCACAATCTCCCTCCTCAGTCTGTTTCTCAGCGGTCCTGTCATCCTTCCAGCACTGCTGAATGTCCGCTCACTCTCCGCAGATGACGATGGGATACTGAGCATATCGATCGCCAACATGGATAACCGCCGGTAGCGACCAACGTTGATCTTCCATCAGTCAATCGGCCGGCACCTATAGTGGGGACTATTCACAACATCCTCTGCACAGTAACGCGCGTACTCATCATCAATCGCTGTGCCTGCAGCCGTCTGTTTCGTTTTGTTATTTCCCTTGCGGAAGCTTGTCGCCGTAGTAGATGGGCTTCGAGACAGCGCTGAGCCGGCTACGCTTCGCGCAAGCCGGCGCTCAATGTAGTCCATCGAGACGTCCTCAGGCGTAGGAACCACTTCGCAGTCTACTTCACGGTCTTTGTATCGCTCCCAGATCAGGAGGAGGTTTGTGCTCGTAGTCCTGTCTCCAGCTCTTCGCCTTATGGGACGGGACTCGGGACCACAGCAAATCAAGAAGACGCCACTTCTAAGTAGTATTGAAGACAGGGCTCCGATCAACTACATCAACGTACACCAAGACCTTTGATGTAATGTACGTGTATGTTAGTCAGCAGAGGTCTGGTTGAGTGTATCAACTGACCTTCAAGAGTGATTGATGTACATCAAGTGTATGTGCGTGCACGTGATGCGACTTTTTGTGCATTTGTTACATGCCAATCTGCGTCATGCTGTTTGTTATCGTGGGATATGCATATTACGATGCATTTATATTAGCCATGAAGTCATCATTCCCACAAGTTTTCCTCGTCAATGTGCTGCGCCGCTTTCTCCAACAACCATGTCGATGAAGCATGATGCACCACACGTGCCTCATCATCCGCTGCTGTGAGCGCGCTTCCCTCAGGGTCAATATTTTCTACCAAGGAAAACAACCCAATCTCGCATTTATTCCCGACAATTCCTGCTCGCAGCCAGGAGCGCAATATCTGACAGATGCCAATGATCTGAGCGTCGAGAGAAGCCCTTATCGGGGTTACCATACGGCCAGCAGCCGAGAACATCCTCTCGCATTCCGCCGACATCGCCTGCACAGTGAGGAAATCCAGCGCCATGCGGGAAGACGCGGATATCGCAGTCGTTTCTCATGCCAATACTCTAGTGGGTCGCGAACCGCTTCGTCCCCGGCCTCATACTCGTCTAAGATCGGTCCGATGGCGCGATGCTGCTCAGCCGGTTTTCGGCGCGCTTCAAAGCAGTGATCCTCAAACGCGTTGTGGTACTGCTTCCGGCGCTTCGCAACCGGCTCCTGGTTCTCTGCATTTACGACAACGGCAAGGTTTGCGTAGCTCCTTCCCCACACGTCCTGTACCATGTGCTTTGCCTTATCCACCCATTCCGGGTGCTCTGCCCAGTGGTCTGTGAACCAGTCCCACCGATATGCCGGGTGGAGAGCCAGAGCTGCATAATAGATCGGCGTCTCGTCTAACTTACAATAGTACTTGTCGAGTTTCTCCCATGCCAGATTGATGCCAACCTTGAAGTGCTCCGGCTCTGGAAAGTCTTCCGCTACTGACTTGTAGTGTTCAAGCACTCCAAGTAGATACTCGAAGCTGTGGATCACATCCTAGATATTACCATAAGATCTAGTATATCCATGCTTCCGCTTTCTTATGATGCTATCTCCTTCTAGTGTCTTCACTACGTTTTCGTAGTGGCCTAGAATCATCACGATATGTTCGAGAGCATCCCAGTCGTGGCTTATAACGTCAAGCTCTAGTCGGCAAATGCGTGGTATATTCGCTGAGTTCCTCTCCGTTAAGCGCTTTAGCTTCTCTTTCTGCTCCTATTCCAATCTTCGCTTGACTCTTAACATTGCAAGATACGGGCGAAGCTTAATAGCACAGCGAATCATATATAGCTATGACAGCCATCGCGTATTATTATCAACCACAACAGACAGGGGCTTTCTTACTCGGACCTTTAGGTCTAGAGCCTTATTAATGTCGTCTAATTAAAGACCCTAAAGCATGTATGTCAGCCGATCCGAGCGATGGATCTCCGCCACGATGTTATGAATCTTGCCCAGAGGGCCTCTCTTCTGCCAAAGCTCGTATTCGGCCTCGGCCAGCAATGCATCACCCGTAAGCTCGGTTTCGAACGCACCCAGGTTCTTCCCGAATAGCAGTGCCTTAGCAGAAAGGTTGAGGATGTGTCCGTAGCAACGACCCCGCCTTTTTCTTGATCAACAGCAGTCAACTGAACTCGTCACTATTCATTCTACCATGCATACTCGATCCTTTACCCAAACGCAGCACCCATCCAGCATGTCCACCCCGGAAAAGCACATCTCCCTGCTCGAAAATCACAAAAGACAACTGGCGCACCGTCATCGACCTCGAACCGCACCCGCACTAGCGCGGCAACGTCTTCTTCAACGCGCGCTCCCTCTGCGAGGCGCACTACTCCCCAGATGCCTGGGTGCGCGCCATCTACGCCGACGACGATACCCAATCGGCTTCCTGATGATGTCTATCTGGGAGCCGGACAGGTGGTGCTGTATCTGGCGCTTCCAGTGGGAAAGGCTACGGCGCGGCAGCGATTAGCTTAGCAGTAGCACATGTCAGGGAGAAGCACCTGGAGATGCAGCTGTTGAGGCTAATATCGGCGGGCCGGGGGGCAAGGCGGCGAGAAATGGGAAAGGTGGAAGGGGCGTCGCCGTATTGCTATTACTGGAGGTTGGGATTAAGTAATATAGAACCAGCGGATGAGTTTGGGGAGATTGAGATGGGACTGGACTTGCGGCAGCCGGAGCGGGATGTGGAAAATATCAGTAATGGTATTCTTGCAGTCCAAGTCTATATAGCGCCTCATGATACATGGAATTAGTCTACATCTTCCTCAGCTACTACCTTTTCTCGCCTCCACCGCGCTCTCTAGCTAGATATACCCTTCCGCCGAGTTGGCATCCGGCACGCTCTCCGGGCCGTAGTGCTTTCCTTTATACACTGCCCCTCCCGGCCCGGGCGGATTCGTACCGACGTTGGAAATTTGCGCCTTTTGTCCCTTGGTCGCGATGTCGTCCTGGCCGCCGAGGCCGCTCACCGGCGGCACCCGCGCCGGCACGACGTCCCCGTCGTTGGTGGAAGTATGCTTGGACGGCTTGTTGAGCTTGTCTAGCGACCGCTGCGAGTTGTCCTCAAACTGTTCGCCTCTAGACTGTCTGGTAGCGTAAAAGATGGTTAGCCAACTCCGTTCAGGAAGGCTTCGTTACAAAGGCGGTGGTCTGACCGTCCTCGGTCGTCTAACACGCCGCCCTCACTTGACGGGATGCGCTTGTTGAAGCTACCGCTTGTGCTGAGCTCGTCGCCGGTGGTTACCTGTGCGCCGCGATCCGCGAACTTCTTATCCGCCGTGGAATTGATGCTCGCATCGTCGAGGGCCTGTGAGCGCGCGGCGCCCGTCTTGGCCTGGTAGGTGTTGAGGTCGGCCTCGGCCTGGTTGGCAATAGCTGTGAAGTCGGGAGCCATGGTGTGTAATATCAAGTCTAGAGTCTGAATTCTTCTATAAATGTATTCGTGTTGAGCAGGTTAATCCCAGGTCTTTATACCCATCCGCATTTGTGACTGGTTCAGTCTCTGCTGGCATAGAAACGTCATGATGTGCGCAAATATGATGAAATCGTGTATTTGGCCGTCCGCACTGCCATAGTGTGGATCTAGCATCTCCAACAGCCGGAAACTTTTCTCAGAAACATGTTGCATGTAAACTGAAAAAAAAATGGAAACGTGGGCCAACACCGCTGATATGTTGACGGCCACGACTCACCAACTCAGCCTGCGAATACAATAATTTCTATTCCATTCATATTATATCAAAGAATGACTTGATATATAGTGACATCAATGATTGCGATCAACCGTCACATCCGGCCCCGATGTCTCCGACCCTTCCTGTAACGGGCAAGCCGCTTGAGCGGCGGCTGTGCCGCCGAGC